ACAGTGACTGAGTCACACCACACAAAAACAAAAGTTTTAGACTTTAGAAAAACAGATTTTTCTAAAATTAGAATATGTGTAGAGGAGTCATTATCAGCCTGGAGCAATTTAAATGGAGTCCAAGAGAAATGGGATTATTTAAAAGCTGCACTATTGAAGGCAACAGAAAATTGCATTAGGCTTGTCAGTAAAAGCAAAATATTCAAGAAACCACTGTGGTACTCCGCAGATGTGGCCAAAATAGTTAAAAACAAAAAGTTAGCATTTAGGAATTATAAAAAAAACCAGAGTGAGGAAGACAAAATGATCTATAAGATTAGGCAGAAAGAGGCTAAGCAAGTTATAAGAGCTTCCAAATCACACACACAAGAGAAAATAGCACAGTCAGTAAAAAAGGGGGACAAAACATTTTTTAGATACATCAATGAGAAAAGAAAAGTAAAACAAGGATTAGTTAGATTAAAAACAAAAGAAGGAAGGTATGTAGAAGAGGATAAAGGTCTAGCTGACTGCCTCAATTAATATTTTTGTTCTGTATTTACAGATGAAAATGAAAGAAAAGGACCGCAGTTGAGAAAAAGGATAAATGAGTCATTTATTACACATGAGTTTACAGAGGAAGAGGTTGTGGCAACTGACATTTAATGTGGATAAGTGCAAGATAATGCATCTTGGACGTAAAAACCCAAGGGCAGAGTACAGAATATTTGATAGAGTCCTAACCTCAACATATGAGGAAAGGGATTTAGGGGTGATTATTTCTGATGACTTAAAGGTAGGCAGACAATGTAATAGAGCAGCAGGAAATGCTAGCAGAATGCTTGGTTGTATAGGGAGAGGTATTAGCAGTAGAAAGAGGGAAGTGCTCATGCCATTGTACAGAACACTGGTGAGACCTCACTTGGAGTATTGTACACAGTACTGGAGACCGTATCTTCAGAAGGATATTGATACCTTAGAGAGGGTTCAGAGAAGGGCTACTAAACTGGTTCATGGATTGCGGGATAAAACTTACCAGGAAAGGTTAAAGGATCTTAACATGTATAGCTTGGAGGAAAGACGAGACAGGGGGCATATGATAGAAACATTTAAATATATAAAGGGAATCAACACAGTAAATGAGGAGACTATATTTAAAAGAAGAAAAACTACCACAACAAGAGGACATAGTCTTAAATTAGAGGGACAAAAGGTTTAAAAATAATATCAGGAAGTATTACTTTACTGAGAGGGTAGTGGATGCATGGAATAGCCTTCCAGCTGAAGTGGTAGAGGTTAACACAGTAATGGAGTTTAAGCATGCGTGGGATAGGCATAAGGCTATCCTAACTATAAGATAAGGCTAGGGACTAATGAAAGTATTTAGAAAATTGGGCAGACTAGATGGGCCGAATGGTTCTTATCTGCCATCACATTCTATGTTTCTATGTTTCTATGAAGATGGAAACTACCCATCTTCCAACAGTGCACGAGACTGCTCTACCGGACCTTGACTACACTCTATTTGTGGATGGTTCTAGATTCGCAGATGAGCAGGGCCAATATCATACCGGGTATGCAGTCACCACTGAGGACCAGATACTTCAAGCATCCTCACTCCCCTCTCGTCCAAGTCAGCACAGGAAGCAGAGTTAATAGCCCTTACGGTGGCATGCAGGATGTCTGAAGGGAAACGTGTCAACATCTATACAGACTCCAGGTATCCCTTAGGAGTAGCGCATTATTTTGGCTTAATTTGGAAAACCAGGGGGTTCCTCACAGCAACAGGTACTCCTGTGAAACATGGTGCAACTATCAACGAACTGATGGATGCCTTACTACTCCCAGAGGAGGTGGCTATACTGATGGTAAAAGCCCACGGGAAACTAAACTCAGGAGAAGCACATGGCAACCATCTGGCCGACCAGGCCGCTAAGGATGCGGCGCGCCAAGGTTCGGAAGTGGACGGAAGAGTGTCCGTCGGAAAGATCACTATTTACACTATGCAAATCCTACCCACTGATCTCAAACTCCTAAGAGAACAACATGTCGCTGATACTCCACAGGAAAAACAAAGCTGGAAAGACAAAGGGGCAACCCTCCAGAATGACATATGTACAATCAACCTCAAATTCTGTCTACCCAAGAATATGTATCCAGCTGTCGTTCAGTGGGCCCGTGGACCAGCACATTTGTCAAAACAATTCATGAATTCCTTGATTGACAAGTATTTTGAAGCACCTGGGATTACCACCTTGACACGAAATTACTGCAGATCCTGCACCATCTGCGCCAAATGCAACCCAGGAAAAATAATCAAGGCTTCACCAAAAAATTTGGCCAAACCACAGTACCCTTTCCAAAGGATCCAAATCGATCATATCCAAATGCCAAAGAGTGGCCGGTATGAATACGCACTGGTCATAGTGGATATGTTTTCTGGATGGCCAGAAGCTTTTCCAGTCGCTAATCTCACTGCAAAGACTACGGCTAAACACCTACTTACCGAAATTATCTGCAGATACGGGGTTCCTGAAGTAATTGAAAGTGACCAGGGTACATCTTTCACCGCATTGTTGACCAAGGAAATCTGGGCAGCACTGGGGGTGACCCTTGCATTCCACACACCCTATCACCCACAGAGTAGTGGTAAGGTAGAACGCATGAATGACACTCTGAAAGCGAGAATGCTTAAAATGTCACAAGAAACTAACCTACCCTGGCTGGAGAGTCTTCCCATAGCACTATTTAGTGTAAGGTACACCCCAAGAGGGAGGTTTAACTTATCCCCCTACGAGATCTTGTTTGGGACAGCACCCAGGTTAGGTTGTTACTTTCCACAACAACTTCAACTCCAGTCAGATGCAATGGTAGATTATATAACTGCACTCTCTCATGCCTTGACCAAAATCCATGCACAGGTGTTTTCTTCTATTCCAGATCCAGAGTCAAACACAGGCACGCACAAGTTACTACCTGGTGATTGGGTCATGGTCAAGATGTTTCTAAGAAAACACACTCTTGAACCAAGGTTTGATGGTCCATTCCAAGTCCTATTGACCACATCTACCTCTGTAAAGTTGGCTGGGAAGAATACCTGGATACACGCTTCACACTGTAAGAAAGTTCCTGATCCAGAGGAAGCGGATCCCACCCAAACATGAGCCTTTTATACTTATGTCTGCAGCTAGGCCTCTTAAAGGCCCAACAAGTTGCTATTACTACAGACAATCATGTTTATAAATTTTGGTATAATTCTTCAAACATACACGTGGCTACATTTACTTTTGATTATTGTGATATTGTTTCTTGTACTTTCCCACAATCACCACACTCAGCAATATGCAAAGACATACCAAATAAAAAGGACCCATATTTCTGTGTGACGGGCGACTATTGGGGACGTCACTGTAGTTCATGGAAAGCGGCGGGGTGGAATACAGGCCGACCATGGGGCTACAGACTAGGGATCGACCGATTATCGGTTTTACCGATATAATCAGCCGATATTCGGTATTTTCGGCAATATCGGTATCGGCCAATTCAGATACCGATATTGCCGATAATACCTCTAGGACCGCCAGGCTCATTACAAGCCCGGCGGTCCTGGGGGGCGGGCAGCAAGCGCTTACTCACCTCCCAGCAGCTCCTCCAGCTCCCCAGTGCAACTCTCGCGAGACCCGTGGCCTCCAAGCACTCCAACCAACACCATCAGCACTGCAGACCCCACTTCCAGCGATGCAACTGCGCCGGGGTCTCTGCTGTTTCCACCCACCCTGGACCCAAGGCCAGGATCCAGCTTCCAGTGGGTGAACCTCTCTTTCCCCAGAGAGCAGGAACAGGAACAAATCAAGCTATTGCAAGAGCTTCCTCTGGGGAGTAAGTGATTATAGCAATCCCCAGAGTGTAGGTATCCCTTCCCCCAAACATGAGCCAAGGCTTAATGCTGGAACAAGACTGATTTACTGGCACACAGAACTCACAATTTATGCAACACAAAACTCCTCCTCTGGGCCAGGCTAGATAATTGAGTTTCTACAATACACAAAGCTCAATTATCTGCTGGCCAGAAACATTACAATTTTTACAGCATTCATAACTTCTAAAATATACATCACAGGGACCCCAAAACATGCAATAACCCCATAAAAAGTATATCCTTGGAACCGGGGGATCTGAGTGAACCACATATCCAAAATTCACCCAGATCCGTTCAGTACTTTGGAAAATACAGTTTCATGCAGATTCTGCAGAACATATACAGGCTAAATGAAAAACAATTACTGTATAATGTGTCCCCTGCTGTATAGTCCAAAACCACTGCACGATGTCTCTGTGCACCAAATAATGGCGAGATGGCACCGTGTTGAAAAGTCCAAACAGTGTCTGTGAGTTAAAATGGCCGCCATCCATTGTTCTCACCATGTGCTTCTGATACAGGAAATGGTGGCCACCCAGTAACTCCACAGTATGTCCCCAGATGGTTCTTAAAGGGCCAGCAGCAGCACAACACAAATCCATTATACCCAAATCATGTCTTTAAAGGGCAATACATCCCAGGGGCCATAGTCACAGGGCAAGAGGAGGGCAAGCAGTCCTCTCCAGGCACAAGTGGCGAAGGGCACTTCGTCACACACACTATACAAACACACTGCATTATATACAAACACACACACACTGCATTATATACACACACTATACAAACACACTGCATTATATACAAACACACACACTGCATTATATACACACACTATACAAACACACTGCATTATATACACACTACACAAACACACACGCACTGCATTATATACACACACTATACAAACACACTGTGTATATAATGCATTGTGTTTGTGTAGTGTGTTTATATAATACAGTGTGTGTTTGTGTAGTGTGTGTATATAATGCAGTGTGTTTGTGTAGTGTGTTTATAGTGTAGTGTGTGTTTGTGTAGTGTGTGTTTGTGTAGTGTGTGTATATAATGCAGTGTGTGTGTATATAATGCAGTGTGTGTTTGTGTAGTGTGTTTATATAATGCAGTGTGTTTGTGTAGTGTGTTTATATAATGCACACTACACAAACACACTGCATTATATACACACACTATATAAACACACTACATTCACTATACACACACTACACAAATACACACACACTCTGCCTTCATTATATACACACACACTTTGCATTTAGTATATACAGCATTCACTTTACGCACACTACCCACACACTACACAAACATTCTGCTTTCATTATATACACACTACACTAATACACACTGCATCCACTAAACACACTAGACAAATACACACTGCATCCACTACACAAACACACACTGCGTCCACAACACACACTACACACACGCACTACACAAACACACACTGCATCCGCAACACACACTACACACACACACTACACAAACACACACTGCATCCACTACACACACTACACAAACACACACAGCTCCCCTGTCACACTGCATCCACTACATGTGGCATGTATATTTTGTGCATTTACCTTTAGAAATAGTTTTTATTTTCCAAAATGGTAAATGTACAGAATATCGGCAAATTATATCGGCTATCGGCGTGAAAGTTCACAGAATATCGGTATCGGTATCGGCTCTAAAAAATCAATATCGGTCGATCCCAACTACAGACCACAGAGTGCCTTAGACCGAGTTGACAGATATAGGAAACCCTTGTTATACCGAATGACCTTGTGTAAACCAACAGGGTCTACCCCAATAAAGCTAACCTTAAACATAGAAGACCCCAGCCCAGGTGACGCTGGGGAATACGTAATGGGAATGTACTGGAAAGGGGGTGGCTCACATAACAAGTTGGGAACTGTCTATTTACAAGACATGCTTACATTACCTGACTGGGTAGATTCAACACACATGACCATTAATCCCCTAAAGCCACACATCAAAACCCTTAAAGACATGGTGGCTATTGCTAATCCTACATTTGAGGACACTATGGCTGTGGAGACTGGTTTTTCAGATACTAATCTATGGCTTGAATAGATGAGGTACAATGCTAACTCTCACAACAAAACTAACTGTTATGTTTGTGGTGGGGCTAGACCTCACCTAGGTACAGTGCCTTTAAATTTACCCCCAGATGTCGAGACATGTTTCTTAAGCCTCTATGCACAGACAATAGTAAATTCATCAGCGTGTGAGTCATGGAAGAAGGCTTACCCAATAACCCAAGGGAGCACCAGGCCACCTGATGGAGTCACTGTGTATCCAGGTAATTACACTTGCTATACAATACATGGAGCCACAGGTAAATTTGTAGGCAAATTCCCTTCTGGCTACTGTGCCATTTATCGGAAACCTCCCACTGCCTTGTTAGTAAAATTAAATCTGTGTGAGATATTTGTTGGCTATGCAGTGACATGCAACTTAGATCAAAGATGACTGGCTTACGGTGGGGAGAGTGTGCCCTGACTAAAGTTATCATGCCCATACACATCTTCCCTGATAACCACCAAGGTCCATACGATTCACCACATACGTATCTTAGAGTAAAAAGAGAAACCTCCATCTGAGGTAGTTTTGACCCACATGTATACATCGATGCCATTGGAGTACCTAGGGGGGTACCAAATGAGTTCAAGGTCAGAGATGAAGTGGCAGCAGGATTCGAATCCTTGATCCCACTCATCACTGCCAATAAGAATGTTAATTGGATCAATTATATTTACTATAACCAGCAACGATTTGTCAATAGTGATGTCCCGAACGGTTCGCTGAACGGTTCGCGAACGGTTCGCCACAAACGTTTCGCGGCGGACTCATCATTGAGTAAACTTTGACCCTGTACCTCACAGTCAGCAGACACATTCCAGCCAATCAGCAGCAGACCCTCCCTCCCAGACCCTCCCACCTCCTGGACAGCATCCATTTTACATTCAGCTGTGAAGCTGCATTCTTAGTGAGCTGTCCAGGAGGTGGGAGGGTCTGGGAGGGAGGGTCTGCTGCTGATTGGCTGGAATGTGTCTGCTGAATGTGAGGTACAGGGTCAAAGTTTACTCAATGATGAGTCCGCAGCGAAACGTTTGCGGCGAACCGTTCGGGACATCACGATTTGTCAATTATACTCGAGATGCCCTACAGGGCTTAGCAGAACAATTACAGACTACCTCTCAAATGACATTCCAGAATCGAATAGCCTTAGACATGATTCTAGCAGAAAAGGGGGGCGTATGTAAGATACTCCCCGATACTATGACATGCTGTACTTTTATCCCGGACAATACAGGTCCTACTGGTAAGGTAACCATGGCCATAGAGAAATTAGAGAATCTTTCTGATGAATTAAAGAAAAATTTGTGAGTCTCCAACTCATGGGACAAATGGGTATGGTGGATGAGTGGATGGCAAAGAACTCTCTTTCAAATAGGTATGGCAGTTCTTACTGTAATGATTCTCTTTCTCTTCCTGACTTGTTGTGTAATACCTTGTGTACAAAAATATCTACAGAAGACTGTAGATCAGACTATTGACCACACTACACCTACATTCCTACATCAGGATGCTGACGACATGGACTGTGACACCCCTCACATACCTCTTCAGTCTCACCACTTCAAACAGACAACTACTAGTAAGTAGGGACACCATAGGGATAGCGTCTGTCTCTACGGGCAGGAGTCTGACGCAGGAGATGTAGTGGGTTAGCCGCTGCGGGATACCTGCACCGCGAAGTGTTCGAGGCCTGTTAAGACAGATGAGCTGCAGCCAATTAGGGATATCATTAGGGTTAGTTAGTGGTTGGCTGTCTTTTCCTCCTTCTTTTTGTAAATAGTAATTTTAAGGTGGGACTGTTGTGGACAATAATATTAACCTAAATTATATTAGTAAAATGCCTATTTACTCAACATAACTACAATCAGCATTATTCGCCTTTCTATGTGATTTACCTAAAATGGCCGCTAGGGAGTTTCCCCTTTAACATCAACTATCACCCTCATTAACAAGATGGCGCTGGAATCTGGGGGAGACCTCCAAGATTTAAGTGACATCATACCCGGTAGGCAGAGCACTAAATGAACCACTTAACACCTAACCAATTATTGATGTATTATTCCATGTTATCATGACAATGCTTACGATGTAATTTTGCTTTGCAAGGGACATGTTGTCGTCACTGAATAAACATTCCTCAAGTTTTTCATTAAACCGAAACTTGTGTCTGGTGTGAATTACTTCAGGAGCGTGCACGCACTATTTCTTTAATTTGGCTGGGGGCAGATACGCAAGATAATCAATTTATTGATTGATTTCAAAATCAAAAACCATATAAACAGCTCCTGCCACACACATACACGTCACAAACAGCTGACATTCCCACACAGAACTATACAAGCAAACACCTCCACAATACTACACACAGCTTGTATATACACTCACTTTACACCACATACATCCCTCACACATATATAAAGCCCATTCAAATATACAACCTTGCAAAGCATCTGCCACACCACTACGCAACACAAGCAGAATTTTAAAGTAACTTCAGTTAAGTTTTACTTAGGTATAGCAATACTAAAAGGTTTCCTACCCCTGCTCTATTATAACAACTAAAATTAATGTGTATAGTGTGCAACAGAGTGAATTATTTACACATCCAGTTAAACTTGACAAGAATTGGATTGGACGACAAGGCAATAAAGCAACGCCTGTTTGATGAGAAGGAGCGGGCGGCACCATCGACTGAGTCTTGGCGTAGAAAAAAGGTCAGCACAAACCTTTTTTCCTTTTTTTTAATTTTAAGTAGATAGAGGTGGCCCTCTAATCTAAATAGTAAATAGACACTATAATCTTATGAATTCATGTTTGTACTTCCTTTACACTAGAAACTGAACAGTAAGCAAATATCTGTCCAGCAAGTTTGAACCTTAACAATAGGCTATAGTTATAGCAATATCAAAATTTAGTCTAGTATTTGGCCTTAAAGGAACACTCCATAGAAAAAAGGTCCACCATTTAAAATCGGAAGATGAGCATTTAATATTCCTGGCATATTTAAGGGGTGCAGATAAAAAAGCTAGCTTACAGTAGATGTCAAATTAGTTTCTGAATCTAATGTAATGTCATTTGTCCAGCAAAGCAAGGAATCATTGAAAAGCCTTGCGGACAAATCCAGCATGACTGGTCAATACTTCTCAAAGGGTTATATTACAGTACATTAAGAAGTATAGAAATGGAAAGCATCAAGATCAGAGCAGCTCATCACTTCTCCTTTAAACTATAGTTCAAAGCAAGCGAAGCGAATTATAGCGCCAACAAATTCCGCAGCGCTTTACAATGGGTGGACGAACAGACATGTATTTGTAACCAGACAAGTTGGACACACAGGGACAGAGGGGTTGAGGGCCCTGCTCAATGAGCTTACATGCTAGAGGGAGTGGGGTATAGTGACACAAAAGGTAAGGATAGTATTAGACTAGTGACAGTTGCATGAGAGGAATCAGTCGGGAGCTATTAACAGTTTAACTGATACGCTTTTATGAAGAAGTGGGTTTTAATGATTTTTTGAAGGAGTGGAGACTGGGTGAGCATCTAACGGAGGAGAGAAGCGAGTTCCACAGGAACGGTGCAGCCCTGGAGAAGTCTTGAAGGCGAGCATCAGAGTTGGGAGTACGGACAGAAGATAGACGTAAGTCTTTAGCAGATCGTAAGGGCCTAGACGGGACATACTTGTGTATTAGGGAGGATAGATAGGTGGGAGCAGCTTTATGTAGAGATTTGAAAGTAAGAACCAGAATTTTAAATTGAGCCCTATATCTTACAGGAAGCCAATGTAGGGACTGACACAAGGGTGGGCATGGGAGGTGCGGGCGGACAGGAAGATGAGCCACGCCGCTGCATTCATTATGGACTGTAATGGCGCAAGTTGGGAGCATGTAAGACCACTGAGAAGCGGATTACAGTAGAAAGGACAATGGAATGGACCAGCACCTTAGTCGCATCTGACGTTAAGTAGGGGTGGATGCATGCAATGTTTTTGAGATGGAAACGATAGGATTTGGCGATAGACTGAACATGAGGTGTGAAGGAGAGGTCAGAGTCAAAGAGAACACCTA